TCTCCTTGTGAAAAGTTCATTCTCGAGATAATCAAAGTTACTGCCACTACAACTTGTATGTTTCGTATCCAAGTCACTGTAGTATATCTAACGAACTGATTGATCATTACTTAATCACCTACTAAGTCGCATTTTTTAAAAATCTTTCAATCCGTTGAACATGCAAAGTATTAAAAAAACTAAAACTATCGTAATACTGACGTTTTCTATGCATCAGGCATGACAGGGTAGATGGGTTGCTTAGGCTAGTCCGTTTCTGATTAGGTAAAAGAAAGTAATGATAAGAAGACAAAAAGCCAGGAAGACTATGTAGCACCATCAAAGTCACAGGCTATTCAAAAGGCGCAAAATATCACTAAGGATACGAGAACAGAAGCGCATAAAACGACGCTATCAAAGATATTCACCAAGGATACTATCCAGGGACAAATGACGCCAGGGACAGTCGGGAAGCACGAGACACGAACGTCCTGAAAATCAGGACACTAAACATGGCGATTGAAACAAAAGTATTATTATTTACCACTTTTTTTTTGTTTAAGGGGGGGGGGGGAACTGTCCCACCATTCAAGCGAGCAGTATGGCTCAAATATGGTATGTTTCCACCGTACGCTAAATGAATACCTGAAACATGATGCTACTTTAATATCCGTAGCTGAAAAAGTAGTCTGACAGCTTTAATACTTTACATTATTAATTTAAGTACGACACTATTTAACCAGGAAATCCAATGTTACAATTTATAATTTCTTTTGTATATGGAACTTGAAACATGATATTTTTCCCAGTGTTTGCATATTCTGGATGGATATAACGACCCACTTGTCAAAATATTTATGGCATTATACCAACCATTTCAAAGCATAGCAATCACTGAATTTGTACCCTATACAACTTTGTAATTTTCATGGCGGTTCTTCACTTTATATATACACCTAAAATACACCAGAGGCAGATATCTTCATATGCAATATTTTTATTTATGTTTCTGAAGAGCACGTGTAGATATGGCACTGCGATAAGACATCTTCCATAGACGGAAGGTGGCACATTTCCTAAATTATAACAATATCTTACATTAGTTTCTGTCCAGACGTAAGGTTATTTTATTTTCTGTCGATAAGATTCCCATACAACTGGCAACGAATCCTGATATCCTTCAAGACAGGTAACGGCTACCATAAAGAAAAACTGCATAAAAGCCTCTGGCATAATTAGGAGTTAGGGTTAATGTTCTTCACACGGCACGTATCTCGCCCGCTCTCTAACGTGGTCACCTTTGCCGACAATTTATGCACGAATCTTCACGCTCTTCAAGTGGAAATGCCACCCGCTTATCGACACTAACTTCAGCGCGTGACGACCCGATATTATCTTGATACCCAGCAGGACTGACAGCGGGTGCTGTGGCACGGGCCAGAGGCGCAGGCAACGGCGCCCCACACCAAGGTAGAGCAGCAACTGGCGCCAGCAGAACATGTGTGGGTACCCAACTGGCCAGACTCGTGGCTCCAACACACATCTTTGTCCATGTCTGTCACTCTCTCTCCACTCTCCTCTTTCCGTCCTTCGCATGCACTCGCTCTCCAACTAACCTAGCCTAATGGTCACAGAATCAATTAATGTTCTTGCGTGCATTGTACTAAATAACGCTGTTACTCTAACGTGCCTTTATGTTAAAGCCTAGCCCTATAAATTCACTCTCCTATTATTCGAAAATATAGATTTTAATTCGACATAATACCCGTAACACTACAGATAGGAGTGCATCTCCGCTGTTCACTAGCTTCCCTCAACACACAGTAGGAATTAACGTGAATGTATAAAAACGGGTGTTTCCGTTTTCTGTTATTGTACCTTGCGTGTAGCATGTCAGTACACAAGGAAGTGTAATAGGGTAGGGTTGTATTATTAGTAGTAAATGAGGTACAGGAAGTAAAACTTTTTATTAGTACCATTGCTGTTTGGGCGTGAAGCCTCTGGTTGTCCTGCTGTTATTTACGTAAATTATTTATTCGTGAATGAGTGTTTACAACTCTCATGTTACTTTGAATAATGTTATATATTATGTGTTTTACAACTCCTACATTGTTAAATCTCGGTGGTAATTTTATTTGGTTAGTAACTCTGCACTACTGAAGTGATCTACGTCCTTGGCTCACATTCGAGGGACTCGGGTTCAATCCCCTACCCAGAAGGATAGCAACAGTTGGACACATTTTCTTTCACTTGATGCTTCTGTTCACCTAGCAGTTACATAGGTACCAGGGAGTTGCGTAACTGTTGTGGGTTGTATCCTGGGAAACGTCAGTTAGCTTAGGGGGTACTTCAATAAGTATAAGCCAGCTTCCTGCCCCCGACAACGGATATGTAAAAACTGTTCCAGTGATCTGACACATTACAGTATCTAATACAATAGATGTTCCTCGACTGCAGACGAAGGTGTCTCTGTATCCAATAATACACACACACATGTAGTCTCTCGCTGCACAGTTGGCTTCGTTCTTACTCGTAATTGGGTATTCCCGGCGGGACAGAAATTTATTTATTTATATATATACAAAGGACATTGGGTTTGAGAGTACATAGCATTGATGTTTTTGCATTCTTGTAAAGCCACTAATACTCGTAGCAACATGCTTGGGCATGTTTCCTTTCACCTAATTCAACTAGCAGTAAATAGTTACCCAGGAGTTTGACATTTTCTTATGAAATGATGAAGCTTTCCATAATGTTAATATATATGATTTAATTTGTTTTTAATTTTAACATAGAAATATGACCAGACCCAAACCTAACCTATCCTAATTGAACCTAAACTAACATAAGTCGGTAATTCGTGTTCTCAATATAATATTCAAATAAACCCATTAAATTTTTTTAAATATCGAAAATCACTCTGCCTATTAGGCACATTGGGCCTTGCATACTAGGCAAAGTAGTGCATTCTGGCTATTAGGTACGAGATAATATGTATTATAGATACATAGATGTGAGCCTTGGCTCCTGGACCCTAACTTTAAGTTATAAGCCATCAATGTATTATGTTATAACTCCCTTCATTCCAGCTTTTCATTGCACTTGCTAACTACAGTAGAAGTGTTATTGCAAGTGCTATAAACTTCAAATATTAATTGTAATTTTTTTTTTACTGTATTGTACTATAAATTGTACAATTTTGTTTGATATTTTTGCAAGATCAAACAATAAAACCCAACCTAACTTTATTAGGAACTAAAATTGTAATATAGGATGGAAAATGAAAATATTAGTGCCCTACTTGTATGGCACTAGTATTGCTTGAGGAACATTCACGCTTGACCCTTAACTGAAAGGTCCTGTCTGTGTGTGTCCACTGGTTGACCTGGAAAAAGTCTTCTGGTCACATACAGTTCCTGTAGCACAGTGGTGTATTTCCTTGGCTTGCATCTGAGGAACCTTGGGTCTATTACCTAGCAGAACAGAAAATGATTGTGCACATTTCCATTCATCTGATACCACTGATCACCAAACAGTTAAGAATGTCCCCGGGAGTTAGGCAAACGTTGTGCTGAGCATACTGGCCTAGTGAAACTCGATAAAATTAGGTACCGGCTTCTTTTGAGTTCAGTTTGTAGACTTCCCAGAGAATGTTTTTCAATTTGGAACAACCCACACTTTTCTTATTCTAGATCAACTTCGTCACATCTCTGAACATTGTTTAAATGTTGTCAAAATTATTAGGAAGCTCGCTAGCATTGTCACCAACATTATCACTATTCATACTACTAGGCATTGTTACCCTGTTTCATGCTTTCCTCATTGTTGTTACTTTAACCTTTTTCCGTGCATTGACTGTTAGAAACAGCACAAACAGTAAACTTTCTCATTGTCTAGTTATTTCTACTCTATTATCATCTTTTCTATCCATATCCACAACCAATATCTCTTGAAGCAATTCTTTCAGATAAAGAATATAAAAATTAAAGAAACAATAGGTCTATTGGTTCTTATCAAGCAGATCTTATTTACATTCATATTAAATATACTGTTAAGTACATAACCATGTACAGTACTATATTTATGTACTTTACAGTACCTACCCAGAGTGTGTGGCTATGTACTTCACGGTACATAATCATAGTACCACACACACACTAGAACTAAAGAACCTTAATGTAGCACTACATATATTTAAAAATATATACTATATAAATATGAAAGTGCTTATTAGCAGTAACCCTAAAATTAACTTGCCAAGTTAATTTAATAACTTATCCCTAAAATTTCTGAACAAGTGCATGACAAACTTCTTTTGACCACCAGATACGTAGGTTTCATTAGATAATGGTACAGTACTTGGCATTCAGATGTTACCAAACATGTATCTACAGTACAGTATTTTGGACTGTAATTTTTCCATTTACTTCTCCTTACAATGCTTAAAATATGCATATGAACCTTTAACATCTGGATTTTCACTGGACGTATAATTAATCAAATGATCAATGCTTGCCATAAAGGAATTTTATTTTGTAGTTAGTGATACAGCTTTCTCCCTGTTGCCCTCTACACCTTTCCAGCATTGTCATTTTAGTGATGATCAGGATCGTTGGATTAGTGGGGATTAAGTACAGGTTGCTCAGAGTCTTGGCAATTTAGTCTCCAAACAGTTCTTAGAGGAAAGGTAAATGTTTTAAATTAATCATGGATCCCAACGAACTTTCTGCCATGTGAAGGGCACAAGGCTGTTGGAAAAGTGCTAGTCTTCTGTATGCTGAAAGTATCTCTGGAAGCCTAGTGTATTCAGTGTCCTATGTGCCGGTGACAAACTGAGGGAAACTACCAAGCAGCACAGGCAAAGATAGGTGCTTACAAATTTAAGTTTTGTAGCTGTATACTGTACAAATTAAACAGTAACTCTTATGGAATATAAAGCAAGCTTTAAGCTCTGGCACACTAGTCACTGTTGTATGTGATTAGCCATTAAGGGATAACAAGTCTATTAAGTAGTTACTTACCTTAAGTGCAACAGCTACAGTGAGCCCCTTTCCTTCTGCATCTTGGGCTAACACCCAATAGGTTGAGTCAAGGTTCTCATACAAGGCCTCCTTTTCTCTAAGAGTCATCTTGGACAACTTTATTTCCTCCTCAGTCAGATTGCGAAGGGCCACTTTAACTCTCATTTCCTCTGTCCACTTATAGAGGCCCTCTACATCTGCCACTAGTGTTTTGATTACTCCCAACTTGGTGTCAACCATATTTTTGTAATCAGGTAGTGTCTTAACAACCTAGAATATAAATAGAATGAAAATTGTCCTTAATACAGTAGCTTTATCAAACACTAAAATAAACCTTGATAATACATGGCTAAGGAAGTGTGTAAAAAAAGGTTAAGTAAAAACATTCGTATAAATAATAAAACAAAAAGAATCTTTTAGCATCTACATCTTGGTACTACAGTATACCAGTTTCTCAAGAAAGAGAAATCGAACTTTGAAAATATATGAAAAACCTTTCTTTGCACTAATGATAAAATTTGTGTTGATACAATTTTAAATATGAAGCTAATTGCAAAGTTACAAAACAAAACAAAAGTTTTGCTAACCTTATTGAAACTTGTTTCTAATGTAGACATCTGAGCAGGAGTGACAGATTTAGTCTTTGAGTCTTTTAGTTTCTTCAGTACGGTTTGCTTTGCTGTCATCTCCACCAAATTATTCTAAAAACAGAAGACAAATTTTAATTACTTAGGAGAAAGGAAAGAAATAAGGATTCATATTCAAGAACTAAACAAATTACAACACATGAGATTCAAAATTTTAGAGGGGGTATTTTTGTTCAAATATCAAGTGACAAATAGAGTACCATGCAGATACCATCTGTATTTATACACAGGTGACCTAACTGATGATTCCATTACCTGAACCATAGTTGAGTGTGCAGACAGTGAGGCTTCATCAGTGACATTAACCGGGGCATCCATAAGTGCCTGGACCTGCTCCACCCAGGTTGCCAGTGCATCATACTCACTGCTTGCTATGTCTTTACCCCCTTCCTCACTAGCAATTCTGGGCAGTAACATGTCTTATTAATTTCTACATGCAATTGAAGAAAAATTAATAAAATCTAACAAAATATAACCAACATTTTGGAAAAAATATTAATAAGTATATGTATAAACACTGTCGCTACAAAACAAATATATTTACAAGTGTTATGCAGTACCAAACAAAATAGTCACAATCGATCATTAATAAACAATTAAAATTTGTTGCATATCTGCTTAAGTACCATGCATACAAGGAATAATAATAAATGCTTTGAGAAAAACATTAGAGCAGTGCAGGGATCAAACCAGCATCCTGGTTAACACCAGACACGTGCCATACACATAGGCCATCACATGCTAAAGACTATTAAACCAGGGACCCTACTGAGTCCACTAGAAAGTTTGGAGGCACCAAACTAGTGCCCAACCAGGTTTTACAAATAGCCTGCATGAACTCTAGTGTGGGTAATGGAGTTCTCCACCACTTCAAACATGCAAGGATATCACAATAACATGACATATCATGAGAAAATCACTGGGGCTGAGTGCATGCATGCAGTCCAATCTGCACTGCTCAAAAAATCTTGTATATCATGCCACTGTGATTTCCTGGCATTCACTGACTGTCCCAAGTCACTTAATACTACATGAAGCATCGTTAATACTGTAACCTCGGTGCAACTTAAATACACTTCAGTATCTTGAAGATTACATTTTCATGTAGTCTCCCATTTTTCACAAGGTGGCAACTGCATGATAGGAGCCGTAATCCATGGACCATGATACTAAAACATACCTAATTATATACAAATGAGTGAGCAAGTATATTGCTGAATGAACTACATCCTACTAACCTTGATGACATCCCTTTCTGATATGTAGTTTTCCCTCACTGTAGCTGGGTGATTGTACAGAATATCATCCAACACTAAAGTTACAAAATACCACGCAACCTCATTCATTTAATATGCTTCCTTCTAGCACTCTCCTTTGACCTTTGACGCAATAATATATAACTTCTTACCTCTCTCTCCTTGCGGCAAGATCCAGAAGCAGAGCTCGCCAGCGTTTCATGAGATGGTCAACACGTTCTTGCAAACGTTTACCATCATCAGCATTCATGCTTTCTGTCACCTCCTTGCACATGTTCTGGAGTGTCTGACTGGGTCTTGAATACATGTAAGATGGTTGTCAAAAATTGTTCAATTCTATGTAAGTAATTTTAATACAGTACGTACCTTACAAACAACTTCTACCAAATGCAGCTAATCTTTGCATAGCTTTATCATAAAATGCTTAACACCTGGGCAGAATGCTTTAAAGCTATACAAACCCTTAATTCCAAAGGTGTAATTCACTTGGTGAATTAATTTCATCACTGATCTATACATACACTGAAATGATTAATGGTTAAGGAAATACTGTAATGTATCAAAGTTCAGTACTTCAAACTGCCTCAGCCTCAGAAGGAATGAGCTAATATCAACAGGTTCCTCGTCATACATAAAAATATGCAAATATCTCAATTATATACAAACTATTTAATTTAAAATTTAAACTTCTATCTGAAGTATTTCAATCTCTACCCAAAGGCTATCCTTTGGGTAGAAAGGGAAAAGTTAGGACATGCCAAAAATATGTTTTGAGACCAAGTCTCTTCTTCAGCTTCCAGTCTGGATTGGAATTCTGACCTTGCCTAGGTTACATTTTTTAATGCTTCCCTGTGTTTTTAGCTATGATGCAGTTTTGTAGGGTGTTGTATAAAGTTGTCTGATACACTAGCATTAGGAAATAACCCAATGTAATTATTCATAAAGACACTCAAATACTATGCATACAACAAACCTTCTCTGTGTACATTTCTTAATTCCTTCATTCCTATTAAAGTTTGAGCCCCATTAAACATTTTAAGTGTTACTTATAAAAAATGTAAACACACTATGTAATCACAAATTTACCGAGTTAGAATACTAGCATATTATTACCTGTGCTTAAGAGTAACCTGCTTCTCAAGTTCTTTCTGTGTGATTTTAGCATCTGGCAATGGCTGATTAGAAGTACATTGAACTTTTTCCTCAATCATGTCCAACCAAGCTGAAAAGTCATCAATGGTCTTCTGCAGTGTCCTCCATGTTTCGGAGCACTGTAACCATCGAGCATGTTTTTCAGTGTACCCACGATTTACCTGAAAAATAGATATGACAACAATGTCACACACTTCTAAACAAATTAATATAATTACTGTAATTATTTAAGCATTCTTTATAGCCACCATACAAAGAAACAGGTTACCAGAGGTTTAAGAGTTAACAATTAAACAATATTGCCTATAATTAACTGCATTAAAGGAGTAACTGTAAACTGTAAATGCAAACTGATTATTAATTCATCTTGCATTACATTAACAAGTTCAATGGTGTTGAAGTTAAAACATCCTTTTGGGAATATTTTTTGAGTACATGGAAAGTGCCTTTCTGAGCAAACCACTTGCTCATTCCTGTAGGCAACGTAAACAAATCCAGCCAAATCAGTGTGACTTTACAGTATTTCCAATGAGGAAAAAAAATTTCAAGCCTCCCCAGATGAACCACTAATGGGAATGACACACTGAAGAATTCTTAATCCAGCCCTGAATGACCATTAGAAGACTCATTAATCAACACTCAAAATACCACCTCCAAGAAATATTTGGATTCCAAGAGCCTACCAAGTACTGCTCTATTAAACTGCTAATTGACTACTTGACCACTATCCCAACCTACAACTGAATGTCACTACTGGCACTGTCAACAAAAACACCCGGGAATTTCATCACACTTTCCACCTTGCTCGATCCCACTGAGGCATAGGATAAGGTGAGATCATAAGGGCAACCAAATGGTTGTTCAGAAAGGAGCTATTCGTCTACATTCAAAAACATGTTTCCGAGTTTAAGTTGCTCAGTCATTCCTTTAGGTAAGAATTCCCATGCCCAAAACATCAGAAGATATATCAACATATTAGGGAACTGAAGCTGCAGAATGGAGTTGAAAGGGAGGTCACAGACGACACAATAAAACTAATGCCCCAGTCCATCCTCTGAATAGACAGTAAGTTTTAATACTAAATGTAATAAGTATAATCCTGACTATCTACATAGTACATAAATACACTTAATTGCCAGCATCGCACCAAAATATTGTAATTAGAGTTTACCTGAAAAGCTGTATAGAAAACCATGACCTAAGCTTGGGAGTGTAAGAGGACAAGCATGTAAATAGCATTTATTGCTTCTTAATTACAATCAGTATTTAACCTATAGCTATACTGTATATGATAAACTAAAATATTAACCCAACTGTAAATAATGGAAATGAGACTATAGGAATATGACACTAATAAATACGAATAACAAAATAAGATCTTAAATACCATGATTGACAGGATTCTATACTTGGCACACACACAATTAACATAATATATTCAACTAGAATAACTCTCACTTCAACTGCCTGAGTCACTGAAAATTAAGTTATTCTTTTTTCAACTTCAATTTTAGTACTGTAAGTTCTCGATATATACCTTAATCACTAGTCTTAAGTATTTGCTTTAAAATTCATTATATTGTACTGAACTTCTGTTTATTTCTAAATCATTGCTAATTTTTGAAGTAAACCACAATCAATAATTTTAAGTGATTGTTAAGAGTGTTACTTGATAAGATTGACTACTATACTGCTCATCTACATATCCCTGAAATTTCTCAATGTATATCTTGTGTAAAGTAATCTGCTATCTTTAAGATTTGCCTTAAACGCTAGACGTGTTAGTGGGTTCGCATTACCTGAGCCCATTCTTCTCTGAGTTTGTCCATAACACGGCGCACTTGTTCTGACTCAGCAGGGGTAATATTTCTGACTGTAGCATTCCTCTCAGCTTCAAGACCATCAACCCTTGGCTTTAGGGTTTCCAGCCCTTTTTTAATACTCTGGTGAAAAAATAAATCACATATACATTAAGTGTACCCTGCTGAATACATGCAAGCATAACCACATACTTGTACAGTATATAATCTATAAAGAAAGTAAGCTAGAATGAGACAGAGTGGACATGACAGTGTTACATGCGAGAACATGTAACTACATATTTGTAGTTCCAGAATGGAAGTTATGCTAATGGTGTCATGTCTTCCCTATAATCTTTGTTATATTAAGCTTGAAACTTATGACGGTTTAGGTATGCTTGCTAGTATTTACCCAGCAAGCATTAGAAATAATTCCGTAACAAAGGTGAACTTCTTCAAGAACAAATTAGATAAGTTCTTGCAAGAAGTACTGGACCAACCGGGCTGTAGTGAATATTTGGGCCTACAGGCTGCTGCAAGCAACAGCCTGTTGGACCAAGTTATCACAAGTCGCGTCTGACCCTCAGACTAGGAGTAGAACAACTCCCGATAGCCTCTCCAGGTAAGCTCCAGCTATACACTACTCTTTCACTTAGTTTAATCCGTCCATCTCGTCAATCACTAGTTTTAAGCACTTTGCTGAAGATTGACTGTACTTTTTGTAACTTACAAATTGCTGCAAATTCTCAATAAATATCTCGACTAATCCGTTAGCTTTAACGTTTGCTGGAAACATTACGAGTGTTGGTGGCTTTGCAAGAATGTACCTGTACAACAACCTGTACCTCTGTTAAGTTAATTTGCAGCTACTCATTGTTCTAATATGAATGTATTGCATTTACACACCAAAACTGGTATAAAACCCTTATGCTCTGATGTAAATGTTTAATAAATAAATACAAATCTTAGTACTTGACCTCTCATCAGCCTGATTACTGTTCATTCACTGAGATTTGTATATGAATGAGAAAACAACTAAATGTTTAGAGTTCAAATTAACACAATGGGGCATTCTCAAGACACTACATGATATAATGTGGAATAATGATGAAAATTAAATAAACATAATAAAACTGCAAGGCAACTCTACTGGATATCTAAATAACAGTAGTAACCATCAATATACCTTCAATTCATCCTCTTGCATCTTGAGATTATCATACTGGTTACCAGCAAGCTTGGAGGAATTGAGCTGGCGAGAGATAACGGATATAGCTTCTCTCAACCGGTTAACACTGGCCACAAAGTCTGGCACAATGACAGGTTCAGTTTCTGGCTGCAATAAATATCAATAATAATTATAGCAGATAAAAATATGCATAATATAAATCGGATCATTCAATCTTGACAATCTCTACCGTTTCTCTCAAAGATATTCAGAGCAGGAATATGCTTAAAATAAATTTATTTGAAAAATCTAATCTATTAGTCAATAGGAATTAATCAGCACTGTGACATATTTTGTTACATTTGAGTATTATCATCTACTGCCCATTAACTCTCATACAGTACTTTATCCTTGAAACCAAGATGCTACTTACAGATTCTACTTTTGTTGTAGAAACAATGCTTTTCTTCTCCAAGGAACCTTTGCGATATTGCCTGAACTGCATGCTGACCTCAGTCCAACGCATGTTGAGCAAAGTCAGAACAGGCTGAATCTGATTATACTTGTATTTTTTCAAAAGGCTGCCACTTTCATTGAGTTTATCCAATTCTGCCTTCTTAGTCGTCATCTCATTTTCAAGTGCCTGTGAAAACATGCGGTATGAAATGTAGGAAACAATATATTGTCTAAAATTTAGGAAACTCAAATTCAACAGTTGAAAAATACCACTGAGTGTAGATATCCTGCTCCAACAGGCAAAGGCACACTGCAGAGTCCAGCCAGGCAACAGGACCAGCATGGTCTTTGCATACCCAACTCCTCAAGTATCTTTTCAAATCATCCTTGCTGGAAATACACAGAAAAACGCACAAGGTATATTGGAACACAAGGGAGGGAATGACAGAAATGGAGTAGCTTGCTGCAATGAGAGGAGTGTTAGAGCCAACCTTTTTATGGTTGGTTTGTAGTAGTATTGAAGCTGGAAAGGAATTTGGACTAGTTCATCTGAGGTGTAAAAGTTAAAATTGGAAATGAATTTTAAAAATCCATTCATTTTGGATGTGTAAACATTTCTTCAGCTTACCTCTAACTGACTCTCATCATTGTTGAGAAGATGAAGTCTCTTGGACACGTCAATTGACCAACTGATAATGTCATCTGCCTTTCCTGAGATGGTCTTCATCTCTTGAGTTACTCTCTCTGATTCCAGCTTTACATTCTATTTAGATTGTAAAGAAAATTTTGTTAACATTACTGTAATTTGAAAGTACAAACACATTCTGTTCATTATTAGGGTAAGGAGAGTAAATAAATGTTAGTAATACAATACAGTTTACAATCTAGTCATTGCAACAGGATAGGAGATTAACCCACAATGCTATAATAAAGTTGCTGTATATCAAAAAGATTTGCTACAATAATTTGAAATATGGTATACCACAACAAAATCCCAATTATGATTAATAAAACAAATTGTAAAAACAATATAATAATACAAATCCCAAATATGACTAATAAAATAAATAGGAAAACAATATTTACACAAACTTAAATCATTTTACCTCAGTTTCACTCTTGAGAGATGACCAATGTGTACGGAGATCATTAACAGCAACACGAATAGTGTTGGCTCTAGGAACATCCACCATGTGTGTTGTGAGTGTAAGGGTGTCACCATGGGATATAACTGTAGCAACATCAGGTTCCAGCAGTGCTACCTCTTGCTCAAGTGTCTGCAATGACAAAAAATATCATGCACTGAATTTGAAGTACCTGTGTGATGACTACTGTTCAAGTAGTAGACTGAGGTGAGACAGCCCACATAAAATAGAGAAGGGGAGACTGGAAGACATGAGAATATGCAGGATGTGCCATTTATGTGATGGTTACCAGTGCCATAAACAAGAAGAATAAGGGAATGAAGATAATAGGGAGTGTGACACTGTAAAGGTATATAATGGGCTGAAATGGATGGAGCACAACAATTGTTAGTTCATGTGTTGTAACCTGTGATTCCTATCTGAATGTATAAACAAACACACATCTTTGTCTAAAGGATATTCAAATGCAGGTTTGAAGTTATCATTTGCCAATTACATTTCTAATGTAGGATAGCAAGCAGTAGAATGCACGTTTATCATGGGAAATTGACTCGCACAGAATCAGACACTACATATGCACGGTGCTGCTGTAATACAGTGATTAGATGTACCATATAATACATTCATATATATACAATAACATATAATACATTCCCTATTTTTCAAACGAGATTTAAGGAATTTTCATTTAATTTCTATTAAACATTACAGTACACAATAAAAAGCCAAATAGCATTTACAACTAACCAAAAATGGTCATTTATTAATGTTATCAAACTTAAGTGATAATCTATACACTAGGCAGACTTATTTGGCTCCTTTATAACATCCAGTATATACATAAAGAATTATGCAGTTAGGCAGGATAACATTCTGGCACTGACATCAGTATAATTTGAAGTGGTTCATGCAGGACACACAAGGATTCACTGGAGAATCATTAGTCCAGCTCAGAATAACTAAATTAGACTTCATTTATAAAAACTCATGAGCATATTTAAATCTTCCCATGAAATCACTGGTGATGATTAAAGAAAGGCTCTTGCTAACTGCCAGTCGGCCTGCTTGGTAACCTACAATGAATGCTACCAAGATGTGGCACTACACACATCTAAATTAAAAAAAATAATGACTTTGCACACAGAGAGAGAGAGAGAGAGAGAGAGACAGACAGACAGACAGAGACACCTGAAGCAGCAAAATGATTCTGCCCAGAAAGAGGTTTTTGCACTAACTCGTAAATCTTATTTCTAAGCTATCAAATTTGGCTGGTCCTTAAAGTATAAAATGGAGCTTAAACCGAGAGAAAGGGAATTTGCTCTGGTATTCCAGACCACCCTCAAGCACTTCAGTGACCCTCCCTGACTATAGTCATCAATGTAAACAATATACAGTATAACCGAACAACATTTTGGCATACCTCTGCTCTTTCCTTGGCATCCTGATAGGAAGGTATTGTCTCTAATTTCGCCTTTATTTCAGTAATTTTATCTGCATTTGCAGTAACTTCTCGAAGGAAAGCATCAACTTCATCACCAAGCTCCTGAAAGATTATGAAACTTTTTTTACCAATTAACCTTTCCTAATACTCGTCATATGATAATTATTTACAATAAAGGAAGCTAAGAGCATCAAGAGAAAATCAGAGACAGAAACGCTGCCTATTTGTTTCCGCCTCCACCGGGTATTGAACCCAGAACCTCAGGACTACGAATCCGAAGCGCTGTCCACGCAGCTGTAAGGCCGCAGGGGAGCCACAGGGGCTCCTCACAGAAAAGTAATTAATTGCACAATACTGTACAGCTCTAATTTATTATAAGACAAATTCCTTCCACATTCTTCCTACTTTTTCTTAAACGTACTTTCATTAACCTTAATCTATTCCAATCTTGATTTTGATTTCCTTTCAGCCTTGCCACATAGTATATTAACTTTCTTTCCATAAAATCTTGTATTGTATACAGCTTGCTTTGTCTCTTATTAATCCAATAGTACAATCATTCAACCAAGTAGTTGCTTTCTGAGGCCCATGAAAGTTCAGACCCAGACATGACTACAATTTTGCCCTTTGTGGAGAGAAATTTCCCTACCCCTATATCACTGTGGACATCATTTTCTAGTACAGAAATAGAGCATTGATGAACTTGAAATAAAGTTTATGAACTCATTCACTTGCAGCCACCATATTACCAACAGACATACAAAAAGATGGAAAGCTATTCATTATCAGTTTCCTATACCTGTTGTCCTGACTGCTTGATATCTTGCAGTATTGTTGAAGCAGCACTTGTGGTGACCTGGACTTGCTCTTGAGTGCTTTCTTTAACATAGCTTCTTGATGCATATACTTTCTCAGATGTTGAAGTTCCTGGCCCTGCATTCACTGTTGGTGATCCTTCAGGATATTGTTTTTTCTGCAGGAAACATCATTTTGTCAATTAATTGTAAGGAAATAAACTAGACAGAGTAACTGATATTAAAACATGTATCTTCAACAGAATTAAAGAATAAATAAAACTTGAAATTATGTTCTTCAAACAATATAAACAGTAAAAAGTGGGATTAATTTTGTTTAATTTACAATCCAGTAAGTTAAAAAAATGTTTAGGGTAATAAGATTACCAGCACCATATAAATAAAAATGTTAGTCATGCTTTACATTATGGACTTCACATACAGACACCAGTCAACCATTCACTTTAGTTAACATAAATCTTTTATATGCACTGAATAAATATATAAGAGGAATCAGTGCTCTTTCAGTTTTATAAAGTGGATATAATAAAACTCTGAAAACATGCACCTATATCTGTTAATATAAAAAGAGCAAAGGCATTATTAAATACACTGCATAACAGCATGTATAAGCTTTTGAAATGTTGAGCCATGCTATGCAAAGTCAATAAGGTGGAAGAATATGTATGTGGAATTCTTCTGTTAGTACTTCCCGTGTTTTTTTTTGCTTCAGGCAGATACCGCATTTTCAATACATGAACCTTGAGAAAAAGTGATAATGCTGTGACCATTACCAAATCCCAAGCAGAGCACTGAAGGTTCTCGATAAGACCTGGAGACTTTACTTGTCTTACCTCCACCATAGTTTTAATAGCTTCCTCTTCAAGGGTTAAATCATCATCAGTAGTATCCTCATAGGGAAACTCTTCTCCCTCTGTTTCACTAAAGATGACCTCTCCTTCACTTGCATCAGTGAGAACACTGATAGTGCTGAATCGTGAGGAGCGATGTTCAGTGCCAGGAGCTAAACACTGTATGTTCTCTCTTAGAGGAAGTGGTCTATCTCTTATCTCTGAGTTTATGTTTTCTTCAGCAGACTGTATCTGACTGTTGTTGGTGGAGGACCAACACTCTAATGGCGTTTCCAATATTTCTGCTGAAGAATGCAACACTTCCAAAGATGTGGAAACATCATCTGACCCTAAAGATTCAACCATTTCCCCAGAGGCATCATAATATGGACTAGAACTATTGGAGTTTGAAGCAGCAGAGGAGGTGGAACTCTCCTTTTCTGTTTCTTCCTTTTGTTCACTAATCTTAGAAGATGAATTGTCCTCAATGAAAACAAAACCTATGTCTTTCAATTCATAGTTAGTAAGTGAAGATGCTTCCCTATCCAAATGATAACTGTCTTTTATGTTCTTGTTTAATTCATCACCAGGTACATTCATGCCAATTTTACTTTGGAATAAGTCCTCTTTCACTACTCTTTTGGGACTGGCCTCAGTAATGTCTGAGATTGTAGCTGTGGTCTTAACCTCTGATTTTTCATGAAAGGCAATTGATGATGATTTTGGTGTTTCTGAAAACTTATTACTTATTTGGGGAATATCGGACATAGCTTTGTCTTTCTTTGTGTTAATTGGAATATTTTTGTTTGTTTGATCTGAAGTACTTTCTTTGTCACAAAAATTGGGTAATAAATAAACATACATATTTTCTGGAGACTCGATGACAGCATGATCTACATCTTTATCTGATGCAGTAATGCTTTCATCTCTGGAGTCTCCATGATGGATATCTGGAATAGAAATGGTTACTTCTTGCTCCTCAATCACTTCTGTAGCTTGAATGACTTGAGCTACATCAATGCTCACTTTTCTCTCCATTCTGAGGGCATCTTGTAAATTAGATTTAATTATTTTAACTTCAGTCCAGCCTTCTTCGCCCATTAAATATGTCTCTTGAACTGTAGCAGCTGTTCTTGTATTTTCTTCTGGCTTTTCAACAGTTCCGAGTGCTTCAACTGCATCTTTCGACAGTAAAGTGTCTTTCTGATCACACTGATCGCACTCTTTCTTTAAATCGACTGCAGCTTTCAAGTTTTCATCCTCTACAACTACGAAATTTTGCTGACAATTATTACCATCTTTTACATTATCTTTCATTACAAAAGATGCCTCACAAATATTCTTGCAAAGACTTTCATCAGCTGAAATTTTTTTATCATGTTTATCTGTTAAAGAAACCAATTCATTATCCATTTCCCCCCCACCAATAACATTTTGGCCCCTAGACACTAAACCTGAATTTTCCTTAAACTCTTCCTTTGCTACAGCAATTGTTAAAATACCTTCAGGTGCCTCTTTGATGTGTGACTTATCTTCAAGGATAATTGTTTTTGTTATCAATTCCTCTGATACAGACCGAACAAGTGATTCTTGGGCATCAATGCTTTTTGGAGTTTTGACACCAATTTGGCTGTCATCTCTCACTGAAACAGTCTCAGAAGTCTTCTTTGAAAGACTACCAATTGGAACGTGAATAACTGTTTCAGCTTCTGACAATGTTGACACTGAGCTATCAATGCTAACATGTCTTTCCAGCTTTACTTCCAAAGAAATATTTCCTATATCTGTGCCAAGCTGCTCCTCTAATCTGTCAGGTTTATCTATTTTGTTTGCTCCTTCCTCGATCACAATTTCATTTTCTGCTATACAGTCTTTCTCTCCACATTCAACTTCTTCATAAGTAGACAATTGTTCTTCTAAATCAGCTTCTGGTTCATGATCCACCATCTCAAAGCTACTGCCTGATGAACTGCTACTAGACACAGATAATTTCCTTGGCATATCTCTAGCTTTACAATCATCTTCTTTTGTGGCATCTTTCTCAACATTCATTCCAAACATCCAATTTTCTTTCTCTGAAATCTTCTCCATATGTTCATCTTCAGCTTTTTCAGGAAATGGCACCAATTCATAAGTAAACTTGCTTTGTACTGGTTTTTTATTTAACCTGACAGATGACTCTTGTGAATAATTAATCTCTTCATTATCTCTGCACGTGCGTACTTTATTCTTCTCAACAATTTTGTACTCTACACATTCAGACGTTAATACTTCAGACAATCTTGCCATTTCTGAAGTTTCCTTTTCCACTTCGACTGATACAAGATTAATACTGATAGACGGACTTGAGGGGCTTTCCATAGTTGTCTCAAAACCTTCCATTTCCTCTCTAATACTGGCACTGTACTGTGGTTCAATAGAAGGATGTCCAACTTCTAATTTTGCATCTATTGATTTCTTTAATGCTTTGTTTACAGTCCTCAAATTAATTTCTTCTTCAGGATATGTTCTCTCATACATCATCTCTTTAATTACTTTTCCTTCATTATCAGCTTCATAGCTCTGACTTGAATAGTTAACACTATCAAGTGGTTCTATATAACCTAGAGTCAAACCTGTGCACATCATTTTGGGTCTGGTCTCTACATTCTCCTCTTCTGGAAACTGCTTTGAGGCAACTACCTCTACAACCATCTCGCTTATTTCTTCCATTGGTGATTCGCATGTGATTTTCCTCTCGTCAATTGTCTTTAGTAATACACTGGATTCTTCTGTGCACTGTGTTACAAATATTAACTCGGGAACTACTTCCATAAGCTCTTCCTTTGTAAACTGATGAAAAGCTACATCAGGCACTACTTCCTCACACTCATTTTTAATGCTCTCCCTATGCTCCTTGTTTGATAATAGGTTTGTGCTAATAATTAAATCAGATGGCTCTGCAATATCTTTAGATAATAATGTATTGTCAGTCGCCAGGGTTTCTGTTTTTTCACAATTTCTTTGTTCCTTTTTAACCTTATGCTGGCCTACTGTACAATCTGTCATAACAGCCTCACTAGATCCAAAGTCTTCCATATGAGTGCTCCTCTTTTCACTGACCTTCCCTAGAGATCCTTCCAGTGCTTGAATAACAGCATGCTCATATATAGTAGCAGCAGATATTCTAACTTTTGAGTGTTCTTGTATATCATCACTTTCATCTGAAGATGATGAATCAATTTCTGCAACTTGTGCTCTCGCTTCTTCATAGCTCTCTATATCAACCCCACCAGTGAAAACTTCATCCTTGTCAGTTTCAATGCTACTACAGCTAACAAAACTGAATCGCAACACATCCTGCTCTTGAGATTTGCTCTGCTTATCATCTGTAATAAGATTTTGTGAACTAAAGTCTGCAGGTAAAGGAGCATCATCCCAGTCTCCTGAAATAGCACCACGAGTTTCAGATCCAAAATCAATGGAGCCTTCTGAAGATGACCCCCTACTGCTTCTTGATATACTTGAGGAGCTACTTAATTCCCATGTTTCTTCATCGGCTGCATGTGTAGTTAAGCCTTTTCTGTACAATGCCTTTCCTAAACTATCTGCTGTTATAACTGAAGCACCTTTTACTTTTTTGGGTCTTGACTGTGGGTTAAGGGGTATTTCAACTGGTAATGATTTCTCTAGTATAGGCTGTTCTGTTTTCTTGGATATCTCATAAAGAACTTCACTGTCAGCTTCTCCATAAAACTTGGCAAATCTTTTCCTCTTTTTCATACCAACATCAAAATCTGTTGAATTGCTACCAAACTCTCTCTCCTTTCCTATTTCCCTGACGTTTACATCTTCTGGCTCTAGTTTATACATATTCTCAAAGCTTTCATGATTACTAGCTTCTGTGTCTGACAACTCAGGGCCTATACCAAAGCTAGACATGTCATCATCTTCATTTTGGGAAACATTGCTCAATGTATCTTCAAAATCCCCAGATTTGACCTGTAACATGTACAATACAGTATAGGTAATTTATACTGCTGAAACTCACAATGTTGTATGAATGTACATCTCATGATATATCCCGCAAGAAAAAATCATACCCAAAATAAAAGATATAAAAGATAATTTTTAATAGGTTACTTGCCAACCATTTTCAGAAAATAGTAATATAAAAATAATATACTATGACAAAATTAACATGAACTACTTTGTCCTGAATTAACACTTATATTAACAAAAATACTTTTAATTAAAATTGATTTCCTATATAAAGTATCATGATCAAGTTAAAATTAATTTTTACTCTGGCTTCACGAATAAAAACATTAAGAACATTTATCTCTGCCGTGTTACAAAATACAACCTTAGTTTTTCTTATATCAAAGTTTTCAAAAAGTGGCTTCAGAATACAACTTCAAGTCTTTTAAAAAAGTTAATTTTTTGTTTAACTCATTAATTTAATTTAATACAGCAAATAATGTTATTCAAATCCTTGTGCAATAAAACAATACAACACACCTTTGGCAATTTTATACATCTCTCAATATGTTTCACACAGTCAAGAGTGAATTTTTGTACCATTTGCAGGTACCATTTTTTTAAAACAAGGCTTCAATCATTTGAACCAACAAACTAACAACTTTTAAGAATGCAACCAGTGTTTTATGTAATGAAATGCCACTTTTTGGGGCTTCAGTGTCTCCCTGTAACTAGCAACACTGACATTGTTCCACTCTTGACCAAAGAGCCAGAGCTCAACCCCTGCAAACACAACTAGGTAAGTACACCTGTAAGTCATGTTAGCCCTTATAAAGCCTTAAAAGCCTACTGGGAAGCACAGTCTAAAATCTGGCCCCCCTCCCCTCTCACAGAGGTGGAGAGAGCCGGGGATTCATGATCATCCTCACTGAAGAATCGATGCTCCTTCAATGATTCCCCAAAAAAAGTAAGCAAAGCAAAACAGAAAACTATAAGGTTTACAGGAAGTAAACAAATAATGCAGCAAATGACTCGGCAAATGATCCACCTGGTAGTTAGTTCATACACCCCATAGAAGCAGGAACATGGGAGCTGCCAGCTCCCCTTGTCAACAACCCCTGGTCATGAGTAGAAGCAGCCCAAAATAACATACAGTACTTGGTCAGGAGTGGAGGGTCCTGGGAGCCACTCAAACCCTTTGCCAGAAAGAGATGTTTCATAACATTCACTACTGGTTTCCTTGAGGGGGCCCGAATAGTGGCTCGCTTGTAGCTAACTAACCACAGATAAAGAAGAGGAGGACACACCAGACTAAGAGTAAAGCAAAAATCAAACCCCCCAGCAGAGATACTAAGACAAGAAACCTAACCCAGAGCAACAAAAGCTAAAAGGGGACCAGGAACACGGACCAGATAATGAATACCTTGCCTAGGTATCAGCTCACGATATTATGGGCTCAAGAATAAACTTCAAATTGGCTAGATATTAAGACACTGTAGACAACCTGATACAATGAGCCTTGGAACAGAGGACCTTATCTGCCATTGACCAGGGTTAGGTACCCAGAAAGATAGGCATAACAAAAACACCACATGGTAAGAAACTAACAACTAAAAACTGAACAGAGAGATAGAACTCCCTCCAATCCGAAGGAAACAAGCAAACATCACACTCCACTGCTGCGCCGCTCATCCGCACAGCCCTCCACTCCCCGAGAGGGGAAAGGGGGAGCCCCGGACCTCCCCGCGCCGGCTACTCGGTCATCTAGTTCGAAAGCTAAGTATCAAACAACGCAAAATTCTGCCGACCAGAGGGAGGGAGGGTTGCCAAGGAGCCTCCAAGGCTCGCCCAGAAAATGCATTTTATTACATTCAACGCTGGTTTTCTGTGAGAAGCCCCTACAACTCCCTGGAGCTACATAACCAAAGATAAGGAAAAAAGAGGGTCTTACCTGGGAGGCGGTAGCCACAAACTTCTCAACACGAAGTCGAGACAACTAGCTGTAACCTGCGACCCAAAGCAACACAGAAATGCCTAGGAGCAGGAATGTTAACCAAATAACAAGTGGCCAGGACCCTGTTTGACCTCTAAAATCCCCGCTCCCGAATATCAGCCTAAGACATGTTGCCAAACACGGCAGCTAAAGCAGCAAACTTCCTAACACCATGGGCACGAGGATAGACCGAAGGCTGACTAGACTTAGTAGCCCTGCAAAAGACCTGGGAGACCAAAGCCCTGGAACAGGGAACGAGAGAAACCAGATCAACCTTAAGCACATCCCCAGCCACTGAAGCCGAAGCGCGCAGATAATGGCGGAGAGTCGCAACCGGACACAACTCATGATGCACCTCCGGCCTGACCTACCAAGCATCAATGACCCACGGACCCCTTTGGAAAGCAGCCGTTTCGTTCTCCACCTGAAAGGGAGGAGAAAACTGCAACTGAACAAACTGATTAATAGGACCAAAAGAGCAGAAACCTCCTGCACTGGAGGAGAGCATGAAACTCACCAACCCGACCCCCCAGAGGCCAATACTAACAGAAAGAGAACCTTGGAAAAATCTTGAACAGACGGGGCCACTATGAACCAAGGAGAACAGAGAGATAGGAGAGCACCATGTCCAAGGACCAAGACAGCTAAGGTGGTGCATGAGCAGGCTAGAGGTGAAACAAAGCATGAGAAATCTTAGGGAATGGGACAGAAGTAACATTCCCCCCGAACGCAAACTGGAGTGGCTCCGCCAGCCCCACACGATACGAGGTGACAGTATTAGGCATCAAATGATGGTCCTGAAAAAGCCAAGAAAGAAAGGACAAGACAACCCGATCAGAAATAGAGGACAACTTACGAAGAGAGAGAAAATGGCGAAAAGAATGCTAGGAAACTTCATACTGTCGCCAAGATGAAGCTCTCAGGTGGGACACCATCAATGAAGCCACCTGATCACCATACAAATGGTGATAAACCAGCGTCAAAAAGACCAGATGTGAAGAGCGGAGAAGACAAAACATCTCAGGTTTGGACAATGAGCAAGCAGCACCTGAAACCAAAGTTGGGCCATCCACCAAGGGGCCAACAGGACTACTTTCCCCTGGTAAGTCTCCAAACGAGTCAGGACCCGAAACAACTGTTGGACCGAGTGGAAGAGGTACAGGTAACCATCACCTCGACCAGTCTTGCCGAAAGGTGTCCACCGCAACAGCTTCGCAGTCGGTGGTAGGGCACCACATATATCGAGAGACTTCGAGACCACGCCACTGTGAAAATGTGCACCTCCGGGGGCCCGTATGTCCGGCAGAGCCAACTGAAGCAGTCGGCATCAGCCATCCATTTAGGAGATGGGAATGAACCAAGACAGGCTATCCACCAGGACGTTGGACACTCCTTGGATATGAACTGCACGGAGAGTCAAACCCCAAGAATCCAGCAGACGAGTCACTCGAAGCAACCAGCCCCAAAGAGCCAAGGACCAAAGAGAACCCAAAAAGTTCAGACAATGAACCACCGGAGAGTAGTCCAAATGGAGCCGGTTCGTGGAACCCCAGCAACCCAAACTCTCTGAAGTGACAGCCAAACACCCGCACCGTGCTGGAGGAGCCGACACCAAATCATACTCATACAGGGAAGGAGGGTATGAAAATCCCTCTCCCTGCTCCCCCAGCAACCCAAACTCTCTGAAGTGACAGCCAAACACCCGCACCGTGCTGGAGGAGCCGACACCAAATCATACTCATACAGGGAAGGAGGGTATGAAAATCCCTCTCCCTGCAACAACAAGCCCCGCAAAAAGGTTACCAAAACCCAAGTGGGATCAAAGGGGGGCCCAGGCTCCCCAGGTCAACTCCTCCCCAGCCCCAGGAGCCTCCAAACCAGGCCCCAGGGCAGAGCTATTCCCTACACTCTACCCCTGAAGAAAAAGCAGAGTCCAGGGGGAAAGGCAGAGAAGGAGGAGGTACGCTGGTAAGACCCAGAAGCCTTGGCAGGAGGAACAGGGCAAACGACCCCAACCGGGGAAGGACTTGGAAGCGTGGACAGCACCAAAGTTGAAGCATGCATGCAACGCCAACGCTGCCTGTACCCAAACCTCGGTGTCAAGAGAATGGGTAAATTGGAGTACGAGCAGAGAACAGGACTTGCAAGACTCTGGGTCAAAGGTGTCATTGACCCAGCAGGCAGCATGACGGAGGCAAAACAGGTGACTCACCCTGAGACAAGGGCACAGAGCAACCTTCAAAATTGCACAAAGCAAGTTGGAATTCAGAAGATGCATCCACCGGTCAAAAGACCCCAATTGGGATTTCCAGGGCCTGCATGATGACTACTACAGAAAGCCCAGGCAAGGTACTGCAAAACCAGTTAGGCCCAAACTAACAAGGGAAAACTGCTAAAGCTGAACATCTGCAACATGTGCAATCACGGGGCCTAGAAGAGGGCCACCAAAATAACATTAGTGGAAACCAATAGCCAAACAAGGCAGACCCCCTCCTCCCCAGGCAAGGAAAACAAAATTAAAATAAAAAAAACACAAAAGAACAATGCCCTCAGAAGGAACAAAACTGGCCGCCATGTAGGTAGACAACCTGCGCAGTAACAGCAAACGATACCACTTCCTACCCAAGTCCAAACAAAGGCCATGAAAACCCCAGCTGACCACAAGGGCAGGGTAATTACCCAGCAGCAACGAACCCTATGGAAGCAGTTCCCAAAAGCTCTATGGAAGAGAAGGGTAGTACTTACAGGGCGCTTAGGAAAGATAGCCCTAAGCTCATGCAGCCGCAGTACCCAAAAGTTTCTCCTGGCTACTGCACCACACACAACAGAACACAAGAGGCTATTATATTACAGGTGCCAGTGGCTGAGTGGACAGCGCTTGGAATTCGTAATCCCAGGATCCGGGTTCGATCCCGGGTGATGGCAGAAACAAGTGGGCAGTTTCTTTTATCGTGATGCCCTGTTACTTAGCAGTAAATAGGTACCTAGGAGTTAGACAGCTGTTACGGGCTGCTTCCGTGTGTGTTTA